TTGTTACCCCTGTACACTCTGTACATGGTTGTATAACTCTTTTACAGTATTAAGGTATGCAGGCTCAAATTTCGGTATGCTCCATAGATTGATATGTTTCTATTTTCTCGACACAAGCTGATTGATCGATTGAAGTCACCAATCTCCCCAGAGGTGAAGTAAAGGTGTAGAATTAATCGATAATCAGAAATAGTCAGCGGCGTGAGGGCAAGATCGAAAGTTATCAATATTGAGAGAGGAGGCAAGAGCGGGCGAGAAAGGGACAAGGGGCGCGCACTTGACTGCACTGCGAGGGGAGGGGGATCAGGGTTCGCTGTCACTGAGATTAAGTAAAACTTTGATGGATTTAAGGTCAAGAACAGGCAAAAGGGGCCACGCAGCGCCGTTTTCGTTGCCACGACGTACACTGTGATCTTTAATGCCAAAATCTGACCAAAACATAAATGAGAAATTGTTACAGGAGTTTAAATCACTACACAAGTTGTTGAGTATGTAAAATTTAAACCATTTTTATAAATTTTAAAAATTTACGAACATTTAAGAACTTTTAAGCTGTTTTAACTTAAAGTTTGTTTTAAAAGTTTTTAAATTTTCGTAAATTTTTAAAAAAATTTAAATTTTGCATACAAAATATAAATATTAAATAAAGTTTCCCGATATAAAAACTATAATGCCAAACGGTGATTACAATGTAATCTAGGGACAAGATTTGCCTTTATACGCAGATTGTGCGGGTACGCGGTTTGTGTTGAGGAGCGATACTTATCGATACGTTCAAGTTGCTGCAAGAAACGGAGCCATTACGTGTAGCAACATTACTACTGAGTAGAATGACATCAACTTAATGGAAATTCAATGAAAATTTATAATTGAAAGTACCATGAATAAGGATGTCGTTCTTTACTGAGAAAAAGCTGTGCTTATGAAGCAATTAGTATATGGAACACCATTAATAGTTGTATATGAACTAATGATTATCGGTCTGTGAACCATGCTGTGGTAGTTCGTACAATAGTATGGTATACATAAATCATAACTGAGGTATATGTACTATTATTATATGGTGCCCTCACTATTATTAGTGGTATTCCATATGAACCACTAATCGTTTAACCCTAGTCTGCCTGAGTGGGGTCAGATTGACCCCACGGGAGTTTTAACTCTTTGCCATTTCTCGTGGTATGCACGAAATTTTTTGTCCTTCACAAATAGCTCTACAAAAACATCTAGGAACACGATTTTGAAGGGGGGAAAAAAAAAATGTGCATGAGAGATCAAAAAATTCACGAGTACCCCTAGAAAGCCTGAGTGGGGTCAGATATCCTTATAACATATATTTTACCATTTAGCATCACAAAAGCTTACTTTGAAGGTGTATTCATTTTTCTCTTTTTAATTTTTTTCAGAAACTTATAAAACAAGCAAAATTTTTCAGATTTTTTTCGTTTACAGTATTTAGTAGCCCTATGATTTTTTTTTCTAATGCTGAGAACAACATGGCAATATGTGTATGATAAAATGGTTGCATACCCTGCGCCGTGTTTTTTAAAACTTAGATATGCTTTATGGTTAAGGCCTGTAAGGTTAGTGCACTGATATTAACCAAAAACATGAAAAAAACATAGCTAACTAATTGATTTTCAGCTGGGGTCAAATTGACCCCACTCAGGCTTTCTCGTTGGTTCAGAGGCTCAGGCAGACTAGGGCTAATAAGTCATAGATTTTTCTCCCTGTCTGACTCAGCCCTTTCAGCACACTCATATGAAGCAATAAAAAATTTGGGTGCAAATTCTCAATTCCGGATTTTGCTGGAAACAGTTATCCGACCTACGTCACGGGGTAAATAATCCTCAAGATGCCCCCACCTCATTTTTTTTCTCAATGCATGAATTCACCTTCAGTAGTACTGGCTAGGTTTTGATGCGATTCACCCCGTGTGCGGCGCGACGGGTGGAGGGGTGAGCAGCGTCCCTTGGGATTCGGGAAGGGCGCGGGGCCACGAAACTGCACTGCATGCGGTCTTAGCCGGCATGATTTTTTCCTCGGAGCAACATGCTGCTCAAACCTTGGCGAAAGGCAAGCGGGTCGGGTGTCTATTGCTTCACCCTTCCTCGGGGAGGGCGGGGCGGAAAGGGCCTTCTCCAAGTTCCCGACGAGTTTACCCTTTAAATTAAAATCATTTGTTTTGAATCAACGTGTTACGCCGAGGGAATGTCCGACCCACCACTTGACGATCGCATGCCCCCTCGTTTTTATTCATCACTCCTTTTTGTCCGCGGACACTGCTCTTTCTCTGCCTTCTCCTCGCGTTGCCAGATGGACCCGGAACAGTTGGCATAAGAAACAGGGTAGCCGTACAATTTTCTGGATCCCTTAGATTATTAGAACAGGGTCACTGAGGTATACTGTTTATGGCCGACAGCGTAGATAATACAATATCCATCATACAAATGTTTACGTAGACCACGATGGAAGAATTGAAAAATTCTAAATTCAATGGGTCAGTTGCGCTGGTCACAGAATCTTATTTCGATGCTTGATCCTTGTAGATCACCTAAAAATAATGAGATCTGACCAGACAGCAACTCTCTACGTTCAATATCTACCGAGATATTAAGCTATGAAAAATTCGGGTTATGACGTCATCCACCGCGGTAGCGACACCCTTGGTTTCTTTCACCTCGCTTACATCTGAGTTTTATATGTACATTGAGTAACCAGCGCAATTGTGCATCACACCGACTGATGAAAGCAAGGTGGAAGAAACCAAGGGTGTCACTATCGCTGTGGATGAATCAAAAACCCGGCTTCTCGAAGGGCGATATCACGGTTAATAATGAACGTAGAAAGTTGCTGTATGGACGGATCTTATTATTTGTAGGCAATCTACAAGAATCAAGCATCAAAACACGATTCTTTGACCAGCGCAGTTAACCCATTCATAAATTAGAACTTGGAGTCTTATTCCCGCTGTTCAGCCCAAAACCAAAATCTCCCTTCATCAAATCGGTTACCAAATTAATTTTAGCATGTTTTACAGTGATCACATTTGTTCTGAATTTTGAATTTAATTGCTTACAAGTTGAAGATACATGCACCAAAAGAAAGAGAAACTTCATGGGCTAAAATTTTATTTTTCCCGTTTCAAAAGTAAACAATAAACCCAAAGTTTCTGTAATGAGTTATTTTGAAATGATTTCAATATGTAATTTTTAAATTGTATAATTTAACGTGTACTCTAATTCTCAACCTATCCGGCGGTCAAGATTATCAGTGCCGAGTCTCTAAAGGATACTAGAGTCCCTTTATACTGAGAGTCAGGACAACACCCCCTCATGGTGGAGTCACAAACGGGAATAAAGATTACACAAATTGAACGTTGTTCGTAATCTTTGATCGACCCATTTTCGAATTCCTTTTTCCGTTCCTTCCCTCATTCCGTCTGTTCCTTATCGAACCCGTAATTCCTCGGTCTATCCCAGATTATAATCTTTGCAATCGGTGAAAATGTAATTTTTATTCCCGTTTGTGACACCGGGAACCAATCAGAAATGGATTCACATTGTCTTGACTCTCAGTATAAAGGGACCCTAAAGGATACTATCTCCTTGTGCTTTCCGTAAATTCGTCGGAAAACGCCGCTGTTCCATTGTGGCAACGGCGCAGCGCACCCGCAGCGTTCGCGAGTTTCCTTGTACTTTCCATTCCTCGACAAATCACAACCCAGGGACTGAGCGAGCTCTTCGGGTAGGGCGATGAAAACCCCGGTTTTAATTTTACACCCGCGGGTCGTCTGTTCTTCGGCGTTGTCTTTGCGCGCGAGTCAATTATCGAACAGCGCGAGGAAGCCGAGGGTTTCTCCGCCCGTTTTGGTGGCTGCGCCTCGCAGGAGCTGAAATCTGGAGCGGGACGGCCCACCCTTTAATTTCTTCGGCATTTCATTAAGCATTTTATTACTCCCACTGCAAGGCTGCGTCTTGCGCGCGAATGGAACTTGCTCCCACCGTTTATTACGTATTAGATATATATAAATATATTGTAGCGTTTGTAAGGGCTCACTCCCCATTTTCCTCCCTCGGATAAGACCGTCAGCAATAAACAAGCCCTGAATTTGGACTCCGTCAGATTTAACATCCACGAAGTATTCCTCGTTTTTCTAATTGTTTCTCCCTCTATTCGACTTATTTTTTAATTTTGATGGGAATAAACTACCAAATACTTAAGTCAATCGCGAATGTTTCTTTCTTTAACGCTCATGACTCATTTTGTCATAGTTTCCTTAAATTTTAAGCAATATTCACAGAAAAAAGTGTTTGGGGATGTACCCAAAAATTGTGGATAATGTTAGTATTTTCAACTTTTGTCATAGTTTCCTTAAATTTGAAGCAACATTCACAGAAAAAAGTGTTAGGGGTTATATCCTAAAATTGGTGAAACCCAAATTTGTTGGATAATGCTAGTACACTGGGAAAAAAACCACATTGGATCTAGAGTCCAGACTCTTGAAAACATTGACGAGAAAAAACACTCTTGATTCAATCGGATTTTTGCTTGAATCAACACGAAATCCGCTTAAATTAAGAGGCTTGGATCTTGATTTAAGCTAGACTCTGATTGAATCAAGAGTGCTTTTTCTTGTCGATGTTTTTAAGAGTCTAGACTCTAAATCCAATGTGTTTTTTTTTCCAGTACATTTCCAACTTTCGTCATAGTTTCCTTAAATTTGAAGCAATATTCACAGAAAAAAGTGTTAGGGATTATCCCTTAAAATTGTGGTGATACCACAATTTGTTGGATAATGTTAGCATTTCCAATTGATTGTGTAGTACCGCAAAATTTGGGTTAGTTACCTAATTTCATCTGCTAAATACCATCAAATTTTGCTCAGTGATTTGTGGCACGCTTTTCTGACGCCCGAAAGTGTTTTCTTTCCTGGCGCACCCAGTGCAAACGACTTAATGAGCCATTTCGCCGATCCCAGGCGCTAAATGAATCGATCATAAAATAGTTCTCACTCAGTAAGTAGTGGTCAACGATTGTGAGATCAGCGGTGTTCGAATCTAGTGGCGGCCATGGAGCTAACATAATGCTGGGTGAGTACCCTTCAAATCATTCCTTTCACTGTTTTAGAGACAACGTATGTGTCATTAATATCGGTACGGAGATAGGTGCTTTCATGGTTAAGCCACAAATTTCGGTACGGAGATAGGTGCTTTCATGGTTAAGCCACAGACAGTGGCTCCTTACTGTGCAATGCAGTCCAGCCATTGACTGTCACTTGTGGGGGCGCGTGAAGTAACTCTAGGGAGTATGGACTTACAGTGAAACTTACGAAAACTACTTCCTTAATGATGATAGTCCGCATTGCATCCCCCGCAAATTACCGAAGACGAAAAAGTTACATTTTTAGAAGACTAATATTTCTCCGGTTCAGTTGGTCCACTAATCCAGGACCCGGAAATTTCCCGGGCGATAAGATCCCCCTGTCACAGACTGGGCTTACAAGGTGACATCCTCGTTGCGACGGTGCAGTGTCATCTAACGTCGGATTATCCTTTCATACTTTTCCGGTAGATTGTGCTGCCACGCAGAGGGAACACGCCGTGTGAGTAACCAAATGCTGCCTGATCTCCTAAAATACAAATTTTCTGTTATGAATAATGTGACGTGCATGGAAATACAATGTGTATCTTGAGGTGATGGCGATACCGGTAAAAAGCGTTTGGAGGGAAATTTTCTTAGGATTGGCAACATTTAAAAGCGATTCTCTCGAATTCTGATTCAGACTTTGAATTACTGTCAAACTGTTAAACTCGTTGAGATTTCTTTTTGTTTTCATCATCAAATGATGTAGAACAAACACCTCTAAAATGTTGTATTTCTACGCTGACAACATTTCAATGGTAAAACTCTCAAGCCACGTATCTCGATCGTAGACTTTCTGTCATACTTTTTTTTTAAAATGGAGAACTACTCCACGTCAATTCTTAAAAACTTCCGTAATCCGAACGCCATGATGAGGAATTTGAAATACAGTTAAAAAGACACAGTTTGCCCTGGGGTTGCACAATTTTATTCGTAATTCGATAGAAATTATTTGATAATTTTAATGAATAATATACTAATAACTGTCTTAATAAACTGTCTGTGCCGGAGGAAATTCGCGCCGGAAAAAATGAGGATGTTGACTAAACATCCTGCTTTTTAAGTGAATGCGACGACTTCAACATGTGAAGATCAACTACCCCTGATGTTAATTTTATGTAGTGAAGATGTTATAATTTAACTGCAGGAGCAGTTAATACAAACGTTTCGAGGCCGTCACCCAATCTTTTAAAAAAAGCAGTGGCATCATCGCAGGGCCGGATTTAGGGGGTGGCCACGTGGGCCGCAGCCCATGGCGGCAAATTTAGGGGGCGGCAAATGTTGTAATTTTTTCTAATGTAGGTATCAAGAAATAAATCTGATTCAGAAAAAAAATTACAAACGAGAAAAGGCGAAAAAATCTCTTATTTCCTGAGAGTTAAAGTATAGTAATTTCTAACTTGTTCGTCTTTCGGTTATGCAAGAGACAGAGGTTGAAAGAGAAACCAAACACGAAATTTGGCCCAGAGCGACGCGGCGTAGAGAGCAATGATGACGAGGACTTGAGATGGATGAAAAGGAGAAAATTCCTCGGCGCGCCGGTCAGCATGAGACACATACTAGCGCCTACAAGGCTCCACGAATACTTCACGCATTGCATCAAACGTAGTGCGGTCAGCAGCGGTCGGCGCGTGAAACGCATAGCGCCTACAAGACTGTAGGGATACTTCACGCATTGCACCAAACACAGCGCGGTTGGCGCGGTGGCGGAAATTAAAATAATTAAACCACATTCATGTTTATTCTTTCATAATTTTTTCGTTCTTTTCTCATTAATGTAAGGCCTTGTCCACACAGGGATAGGTTTACGGAACTTAATTTTCTCGCAAAGTTCCATGAACTTTTGCTAGCGGTGACAGGGTTTTCAAAAAAAATGTGCCCAACGCGAGTAAACGCGTCCTATGCACCCCTCCTCCACTGGCACGTTCACTTGATGGTTTGTATCGATGTTTCAAAACGAATGAGAAGGGGCGGCAAAATACAGGCGGCCCATGGACGGCAAGTAGGTAAATCCGGCCCTGCATCGTCGATCATCGTACAATTTTAAAGTACACAGAGTGATTTAACCTCATATCCCTGCCGCATGCAAGACGTCCATCCAACATCCAATTTTTTTGGTGTGGTGTCATTCGAAGGTTTATTTCTCAATGTGGTGTATTTGATTTCAGTTCTGGTGGTTTTGGCGCTGTCGGGCCTCATACTGCCCGGGGTCACGGCTTTCTTCTTGCCGTCGACGCTCGTGCCCGGGAACTCTTACGCTTTCTCGTTGATCGGCTACCTTGGGTTCGGGGTCGGGCCATGGCACGCCTTCTACGCCCTCTCGCCATCCACCTTCTTCAACATCCGGCCGATGGAGGGCTCTTGGGACGTTGTTGTCCCGCAAATCGGGCACCTCGCCGATCTCCGCAATGTCACCGTCAAGTGGGCAGGACCGCTCCCCGGCCGAGAGGCCATCCCCAAAGAAGTCGGCTTTGCTCTCGCTTACCGCATGATAAACCAGTGAGTACTGGAAAAGGGCTACCCACGTTTTACCACTTGACATTTGGACTGCGTTTTGCAATTTGGAACTATAAATTCTAGTCCGGTTTAAAAACGACGCATGTGCCATTAGTTTTTCTATGCACATAAGTGTTTTTCCAGAAGAGCCAGAATTTATCGTTCCAAATTGCAAAATGCAGCCCATTTAATGAGATTCCACCTTGAGATCTGATCATTGAATTGACAAACAAAGCTATAGACAAAGAGGGCAAAGGGAAAACGGACTTAGGAAGGAGGCCGGTCGTTGCTAGGGACGGCGGAGGTAAGTAATAAAATTACTAACAGCAACCAGGAGAGACATTTTACTTTCATTTTCTTCCTTCGTCAATGAAAACCATTTGTTTCAACCAACAGGATCCATCCATTCCCTTTGTCCTCTTTGGTGTATAGATTTGCTTGTCAATTTCAATATTCAGGGCAAACGACAAGGAATCCAGTATTTTGACATCAACATAAGATATGTCATGGGCCATGACACAAAACACTCAACATAATGTGACACATTTTAGAGTTTTGATGAGGAAACACTTTTGATATCTTAAATCTTACCTTTGTTATTATGAATGCAGACAAGGGGAGAGTCAAGGGCCTGTTTGTCCTTCCAGAGGGGATAATCTTACAGAAAGGCTACGAACGATTAAAAAATTTCCTAAAACGGCCACTATCTCCATAGAAGAGAAGCACACTCCGGAGTTTTCAGTCCCTCTGGCCGGTCAATGGTCAATGTTTTGTTCATTTGCAAGACGTGTGATGAAATTTCCGCTTTATCTGATCCGCAGGTCGTACCTCTACCACATGCATCAATGTAATTGCCGTCACTACACAGATTACCTGTTATATGGAAGGACATTTGGTAGATCATACGATATTGCGTATATGCCTATCAGAGACAACTGCCCATTGCACCGTCTACTGAATAGCACAACAAACGTCAATTCGCCTTCATTCAAACTGTACGATAAACTTGGTAACTCCTATCCATTAGGGCCTCCATGGAACTCATCTAGCAATAGCCATACAGTAAATCAACAAAGCTTGCCTACCTCACCTAATACTTGGCGACCAGGTTCACGTCCAGGCGGTGGCTCACCAGGTCTCACACAAGGACCACGTCCAGGTGGTGGCCTACCAAGTTCCCCATCAGTTTCCTCACCAGTTTCACCACTAGGTTCCACACCAGGTCCACGTCCAAGTGGTAGCCCACCAGGTTCCCCACCGGTTTCCCCACCAGTTTCCCCACTAGTTTCCCTACCAGTTTCCCCACCAGGATCCACACCAGGTTCAAGTCCAGGTAGTAGCCCACCAGGTCTACGTCCAAGTGGTGGCCCACCGGGTTCCCCATCAGTTTCCCTCCCAGGTTTTACGCCAGGTCCACGTCCAAGTGGTAGCCCACCAGTTTCCCCACCAAGTTCCCCACCAGGTTCCCCACCAGGTTCCCCACCAGGTTCCTCACCAGGTCTACGTCCAAGTGGTGGCCCACCAGGTTCCCCATCAGTTTTCCTACCAGGTTCCACACCAGGTCCACGTCCAAGTGGTAGCCCACCAGTTTCCCCACCAAGTTCCCCACCAGGTCTACGTCCAAGTGGTGCCTCACCAGGTTCCCCATCAGTTTCCCAACCAGTTTCACCACCAGGTCCCACACCAGGTCCACTCCCAAGTGGTAGACCACCAAGTTCCCCACCAGATCCACATCCAAGTGGTCGCCCATCAGGTTCCCTATCAGTTTCTCCATCAGTTTCCCTACCAGGCTCCCCACCAGTTTCCGCACCAGTTTCTCCACCAAGTTCCCCGCCAGATCCCAAACCAAGTTCCTCACCAGGTTCTCCACCAGGTTCCCCACCAGGTCTACGTCCAGGTGGTGGCCCACCAGGTTCCCCGCCAGGTCCACGTCCAGGTGGTGGCCCACCAGGTCCACGTCCAGGTGGGGGCCCACCAGGTTCCCCACCAAGTCCACATCCAGGGGGTGGCCCACCAGGTCCACGTTCAGGTGGTGGCCCACCAGGTTCCCCACCAGACCCACAAGAACATCCCGAGGTTTTCCTGTAGGTCCTCTGGGCCCACAGTTCAGATCTCTCCCACCTTATGATCGGGGACCAAGTCCAGGGAATGGTCCTACATCTGCTGCGTCGCCTCGGCCGTCCAGCCCACTCCCAAAACTAGAACGTCAGCAAAATGAAGATGCTTCGAGTCCTTTGTTAGAACTCACACCATCTAATGTAATTGGTCAATGCTACGACCCACCTCGGCTACCTTGGATGAATTATTTATCTTCATATTTTCTAGAATTTACAGCTCATGGTTTGCCAGTTAAACTAAGACTGACCGACGTATGCATGCGTGTATGTAACAAGGTGGAGAAAAAGTGCTGGGTGGGTCCACACCATTTCGCGGGGAAAACAAAGTCAAGTAATTCATTTGCAAACATTTTGCAATTAGAGTCAATTTTTTTTTGCCCTAATGAGTATCAGTACAAGACCGAGGAGGGGGGGAGGGGAGAGAACGTTATAGATCTCTTGTTATGACTTCAACTTAGTATTCCAGTGCAAGCTGCCTGAGCTGAACAGCCGCCCCCCCCTCCAAACTTGTATTGATACTCATTAGAGCAAAAAAAAAAAAAAATTGATTCTAATTGAATTTTTTTTATTTTCTCGGCTTTGTTTTCCCCGCGAAATAATGTGGACCCGACACCATTTTTTCACGTTGTTACATATAGTTCGGGCCATTTTTTAGTGATTTTTCTCGTTTATACGTGTATGTATGTATATATGTTCCTATTTAATTTTATTTACGTACTTTTGGCTGTCTATTTTTTATATCTTTGATCTTCTGTCTATTTGATTAATTTTTCTGTACCTATGTAATGCCCTGCAGACGACACTTGTGCTAAAAAGCCTCGGCAATAATATAATGTAATTTAATAAAATGCACTGTGCTGAGGCTACCTTCTGTTACATCGTTATATCGTTCAAATTGTTTTTTTTTATTTTTTTTCCACGAGGGGAAAGTTGAACTTTTCTAGTGAGAGAGTAGATGATTTTTGAGTAATTGGTCTCTACCATCCATATGGTGCTGAGCAAAAAGCGCGGATGCATGCTCGTCGGGATCCCATTCTGTCTTGTTGAAGAAAACGACGTATGCGAACCTCCGGACACTGCCAATTTCCTTTCACGAAACACACATTTTCAGGAAAACTTGGGCCTACTTTTCCAACAATATTTCAAAGAGTTTTATTCGCAATTCAATATAAATTATCAGATAATGTCAAGAAAAATAATACATTTATTTAGGAGAAATCTGGCAACGTCCGAATGCCCAAACGACATTTTTCCTTTGCACGGCTGAGTTGCGCGACTTTATCCACCACTCTCCCTCACTCCGCTCACCCTTCCTTGGTCAGTACGTGAGACTTGTTGTATGCCTGACGTCGAGGCGACGACGAGTATAACTCATACACGGGCGGCCATTTTTCTCTTTTCTCTCTTTTTAATATCTTCAGCTCTGAACCGTGATATGAATACACAAACTCCGGCCAAAAGTCCCTCGTGGGCTTGGTAGGGNGGTTGGGGGGAGGCTTAGAGAAAAATGCTGACATTTTGGCTCAACGCAATAATGGCTTATTGGGAGAAACCAGTGATATGAATGAAAGTCAAGAATTAAGGGGATTACCTTTTATATTATCTCATCCGTCTAATTATGAAGGATACGCATTGAAATATTATAGCGCTCTTCAAATAGTGCGATGATGCTGATGCTGGAGGAGAAGGTTTTTGAAACATTTCTAAAAGGAGGCTCGTGTTTCAAAAACGTTTCTTTAAAGTAGGGGAAAATTGAAACATTTCGAAAACGACTTTGAATCTTTTAAGGAGGTATGTTATACAGATACACTGAAAAAAAAAAGGTATGCTATTTCAGCACCTAGGATGTCAAAAATGGGTCTGGTGATCCTAAGATGCTGCCTTGATTGACCGCTCAATTGAATTTGCATTCACAGCATATAAGGTTCACTGCGAGGGCAGTAAAGGCAGCATCTTGGGATTACCGGATACATTTTTGACATCCCAGGTGCTGAAACAGTACATTATTTTCTTTACTGCACAGTGAAATCCCCTGCATAGGAGCTGAGGATCTTTCTTAAATCCAAAAATCCATAATGACCTCTGGAATTCTGCATACATGCATCCAGTTCCTACATGCCGAGGTAAAATTTCATCCTCTCAAAATAAAGATGGGTCTCCACAAAATGCATCAAACTCTGTGATGACTGTTGCGAAATCTAAACCGAACTTGGAAATTTGGTGGGGTTAAAGCTGATTACCGAGAGTGCAGCATCTTCTGAACTTGTGCTGCGTCGGGGCAATTGCAGCTTTGCTGATTCATTGGCGCATGAATAGTCAAGGGGACCGCAGAACCTTTCCGCGCGTTTTGTTTTTTAGCTGAGCCACAGCTTCTTTCAAACACCAGTCCCTGCTTTCAGGCTGCCTTTCAGCCACGCTTGAAACATCCCTTGGGTCCCCTCGCTTTTTGTGCTCCTTTTGCTCGACTCTCTATTTTCAGCTAATTAATGTTGCCTTAATTAAGAACCAAGGTTACACTTCGGTCTTATTTTTGAGCGAGCGCGTGTTGAGTTCATTTCCGGCAGTCTCTCAGGTCTTTAATTCACCCGTCGCTCAGAGTCCATATGAAAAGCTGCTCTTTATAAACGGGTAAAAAATGAGATTACAGATAAAGAGGTACCTAATTGTCATTTCCGCAAGACTCGGTTGTTATTTCAAGAGGTCACTCAATTTTTTAATAGAAAATTCTTATTTAATAGTATCATTGTCCTTAAAAGCGAGTAAAATAGTTTGGACCAGGGATTTCACTGTATAAATTCATCAAATATCACTCTGAATTTGCAGGTCTTTTCATGATTATTTATAAAAATTATGCCACTTCAAGGCTAGTTTTATGCGAGAGCCATCAGAAAAGTAAAGGTAACCAATCAGTGCAATACATTCAGAAAGAGGAGATGCCCTGTTGACGAAAAGAAATATTACATTATATCCAAAAAAGGATATCATTTTGTATGCAATCAGAGAAAATTGAAAAACACCGAGATTTTTGTATGGAATAGAAATATAAGGAAAATACACAAGGTGAGTATTTGATATTTGCAACGCGAACTCTAGGTATCGTCATTAAGGAGTTTTTTACTGCCCCACCACAGCTGATCTTACGAGAAGAAGGCGTACATTTGTCATTTCAAATCGTGGACAGGGATCCACATGTGACATTGATGGATCCAGCAAATTCGCAACATTGTCTTTTCTGCATTTAAACAAATGCATTTACAAATTCGAAACAACCTTTTTTTACAGGGGTTTTGAAAATTGAACATTTTCTCTGTGGTATAATTTTGCAAATTTTCATTAGTTTTTTCTTTTTCTAAATAACTGATTCTCAAAAATTTCAAAATTTAAACAAAATATTTGGTACTCTATGATCATTATACAAGCTACAAAATAGATCAGTATCCCCCAGAATGTGAGATCCAAAATTAATTCATGTCAAAGAGGGTTAAGTTTAAAAGTGCGTATTCGCTAAAATTTACGTCAGAAACACTCATTTTTAAGTAGTTTTGCCTTGTCTATGACTTTCGCTTTTTGTAGTTGTGTCTTGATGATGACCATAAGGATCGAAAAGCTTCGGCAATTATTTAATAAAATAGTATTCTCAAAATAACACCTTGGTTTTGTGGTTTTTCACATTTAAACCTATCCAAACTCATTTTCAAGGCAATTTGTGGGTCACATGACAGTTCAGTTCGCATGAAATTCATAGTGCTTTGTAAATCAAATTTTATCGAAACCTCGTTTTTGCTTTCCTTTTCATGCCTCTAGGTAGAAATTTACATCGGTGACTCGAGATACATATTCGCTCGGTGCGTCGCATGTAAAGGCTGAGATGAAAGGTATAACAGCAATTTTATGAGGGGTTATTTCGTCGTCTCCTGGACGAAAGAACGTAACTCCATTTCAATTTTGCCAAATTTCCCCTCGCAAATTGCCTATTAATCAAAAGAATCCTGGGCATTTCTGACTGAAACTTTCCCTGATTTTTCTCTAGTTTCTAAGCAAAAAACAGACCAATTTTGGATGAAAATTGCCTATGTATATTTTTGTAAAATAAATTAATTGTTTGAGTCAATTTGGCAACCTTGGAATGGAGTTACGTTCTTTCGTGCTGGAAACGACGATTTGGAAACGAGAACTCGAGCGTTAAATTAAAATGCCACCGGCTCCCGGCTCCCGCAGCAAGAAAAGTACTCAAAATGTTAAACATAACTAGCCACAATGTGTCATCTCAAAAGCAGACGATCATGCCCATTCAGGGTGGGGTAAACAAAGTCTGGGGTCTTTCTCAAAGGACCCCCCGCCCCCTCGACTTTCGCGAGTACCAACTGCGGATAAGGAGAATGCGAGGGGGAGGGTGACTAGCGTTGAATTCAATTATCCCGCTTTTAGAGTTGGTAATTTCTGCCGGGACATTGGCGTCGCGCAGGCGGCGAAATTTTAACTTCATAGGATGACGTGAAAATTGAAAAAAAGTTAGGATGTAAAAAAAACAGCTTGGTTTTTAAAAATTGTGTATGGACTTCAACACTTTTGTCTTCATCTCCCTTGTTGCTAATTTCATTTCCATTGGGCGTTAACTGAAGAGGCAGTCGGGATAAACGCTGTGAGGTCGTTGCACATGCAAGAAAGAAAAGTCTGTGAGTTTCCTAGTTTATTTCGAGCACCCAAGTAGCACAGATTGCAATAATTAGCAATTACATACTTAAAATATTGCAATTCCACTGAGTGTTGTGTATGTTGCCTGACTCCTATTTGAAGGGGCCCCATTTATTGACTGCCAGTATGTTACTATGATAGTCTTATCATTGTGACATACTGACTTCACCGTGGTGATGCATTGGTAATAAACCGACACCATGTCAGTGACGAAAATGTATCATGTGTTACTCACCAACGCATGCGGTTTTCGTAGAAACTGAAAGGGTACTGAAAGGGTTCCTTCGGCCGCGGAACAGTCCAGCTCAACTTCTAAGAGCGGTTTCCTGCCTTAAGAGGCCTCATACTGGAAAAAATAATGCAAGCCCATAATATGGTTTCAAAATTACCACATTCATTGCAAATTTGCATGATGGATAAACTTCAGAGAAAGTTTATTTCTTTCGAAAATTCCTTTGGATTAAGTACTTTGTAAAGAGGAAGAAAACTGCAAAGAGTAAATGGCGTAGACAAGGGGAGGAGGGTCCAGACCCCCTGGACCTCCCTCCCCCTTCAGCCTCGTTAATAGTACCTTTTTTTTTACTTTTGGAGGGCAGACATAAAATATTACCAGGGTATATA